CACACACAAACTTATTATAACCTACTGTTTGTTAAACAAGTGCACATCAGCACAGGCAAAAATTAGCTGTCAACCCGACACTATTGCACAGCAGTCATGTACAATCAACTCAAAATCAGCTTCGGAAACATGCACTCTGGCGCAGCAAAGTCAGCTCGAAAACATCAGCCCATCCGCTGACCTGTCCTACCTAAAACAGCTGATAGTATATCTAGAACAAATCCCCTGCCCTATCTCCTTTATTTATGTGTTTCTCCTATGGGTATTATTTATTTTACTGCAGTGTACGACCTTGTGTGCGGTTCAGAAGCTGCCACTTCTTAGTCAAAAAAAAGAAAAAAGAAATTCACATTGCCATTTCAGGGGCTTTCTTGCCACCAATGTCATTTAAGTCGACATCAAGTAACGAATCAGCACAGTACCAATAAAATTCAGTATACAAAATATATATATATATATATATATTGATATGACAAAAAACAGCATAATCTTCGAGCAAAATAAAATTGATTTTCATTTTGCAATATCACTTTTGTAAGACTTACACACACACACACACACATATTCATACAGTCCTAAAAATACACTTCATAGTTTAGTTTGCGAAAACGAGAGTAGATGTTCCAATCAGAGCAGTCCTACGACCCATATAAGTGTCACAACCTGCTAGTTTAGAAGCACTGATCTATAGAATGTCCAGGTAGACACATCAGTTATAAATAAGACAGAAACAGCATTCCTCCCTCCTATTCGATCTCTCTCTTCTTCTCACTGGCAGAAAAAAAGGGCTGTTGCTATGAAGATGGATTATCCTGCTGGTGACATCGTCTCCTATCCTTCTCTGCCATCAAGGAGAGCTTACACAATTATGCCAATTAATCTTACACAAAAGGAGTTCAAATGCACCCTGCTTTGATTAGGTCTGGCTCCTAGACAGGTGCATGCACTCAGCATGCATCCACATACACGCATGCACAGGCTAACACCCATTTGCATAAAACAATAAATCTGATTATGAATTGGTCTCTAATGGCATTTCCACTTAATGAGAGTGGTGTCTTTATACCTGCTGCTGTTTACAAGGTTAGCGAGAGCTGACAGGGACACAATATAAATAAGTGGAATAAAGCAAATCTTGAAGCCGACATGAAACCGCATTTGCAATCCTTTTATTTCACATATGAATCACATACAAAAAAGCAAGATGGGACGTGATTTTATTATACTTGTCAATGGATTGTAAAATAAGAAAATTCTAAAAAAAAATTAATAAAAAGTATATATATATATATATATATATATATATATATAATTGTGACATGAGTATATTGTTACACAATATATATAGAAAAAGTGTAAAAATATACTCATGTGTACCAATACATTCATGTCACGATTCAATACTGATCGATACTCTCACAACATTTTAGAGTTAATGTTTTTAAATTATTACTAATAATAATTTTATGTAACCTCATTTATTTAAGCTCCTCTCTTCTGTTGGTCATTTAACATGTAGTTCTGCCCCAAACTCACACTATTGACTATCAAGCTATAAATGATTTAAACACTAAAGTGATTGGAGAAAGTACTTTAATTTGAAAAAGTACTTTCTTTGAGAAAATTACTTTTTCAAATTAAAGTAAAAGTACTTAATTTGAGAAAGTACTTTAATTTCTCAGAGGAAACTTTGATGTACATAATGAAGCTTATGCAGTTTTTATAACAAATAACTGGAATGAATATCAGTTTAAAAGTGTGCGTATGAGTACATAAGTGTACGTAGGTGTGCAAGACATTGCCAAAGGAGCTTGAAAGAAAGTCAGCATTTTCCAGAAATACATTCAATTCTGCAGAAAGTTCCCTGGCTGGCTTCCATCTATTGACAATGCAATCAAACATTCTGACCAGACCTCGCTGGCCACAATACAACCTGGGACATGTACGTGCAAACTTGTGATTTATCCATTTTTCTTTTTAATTACCTCCATCTCAAAGATAGGTGAAGAGGTCTATGTGGAAAACCATTCCCTATCAAAAGCTAAAAAGAGCATTATTTTGTTCTAAACCACAGAGAGGGCCCAAATGGCATTACAAAATAATGTTCTGATTTTACACGAATAAATACTCAGTCATTGTCTAATTTTTTTCCCCTGACTGCACAGGCAGAGTGGCAAGATTCATAATTTAAATATCTTGTAAGATATGTATGATGCCCTTTTTTTCATTATTCTTTGGAGTCAAAATGCAACCACTTAAACAGGAAAAACACCCTTTTGGCACCTAAATGAGCTCTTTAAAATTCAGATGAGGCTCTTAGAAATCTTTGTAACTATGGAACACTTGGTTCCTCAAAAGAAAACAAGCACTGCCTAACACAATATTTATAGCAAATAAAGCACAGCAAAGACTAGTATATAAAGTGGTAGGGTTTAGGACATTTTTTTGTGCCAGGCAGGACAATAAAAAAATCTTCCATGATAAGATCAAGAAAAAGCAGCTCCAAAATGTTTTTGGACACTTAGGCCACACTTAAATTGTCTAAATTTCACTGCATTAGATAACAAAATATCAGGCTAACTCCATTTTTCTGGATAATTCTTTCTGATAACTTTATTTACGAAGCCAGTGACTAGCAATTAAGTGTGACAACCATTAAGTATCCAAATGCTTTTGTTTTATCATTTAAAATCTAACCAATTTCTTTTTTTTTTAATGTTTTGCTTGAAAAGGATGCATCTTCTATCCTTCCTGAAAATAAATGCCACTTATTTTGATATTTTGTCACTGAATGCAATCACATTCAGACATTTTTAAGTGTCACTTACTGTCAGTGCCAAACACTTTTTGAGGCACAAATCTGTGGATAAAAGTCCTGAATTTAGTGTTTAAAAGAATAAAGAAGAGATGCAGCAAATTGAAAAGGAGAAAGACGTCACATGGCAAATCAATTTCCTGCCTTGACTCTTCAAGGTGTAGACATCAAGACTTCGTCGGCTTTGCTGTCCTCTCACACAGGACAGCTCAAGGACATTGGCAGCGTAACCCTTATGCAAACGGCCCGCCACTCTGTTTGATGAGCACCAACACCAACTTTGTATATGTAAATGATGGGCAAGCGTGGTGTGCACACACTGACAGATGCATACACAAACACACGTAGATGAGTTGAACTTTGCCTATCCCAGTGTGGTCAAGCGCAAACGCTCCAGGTCGGTGACATACTGCACTTGCATCAAGCTGCGTCTGGCTGTCACTCTATATGCTTGCTGATAAAGGCTGGTCTGGCAAGGATGCTGACCTCCTACTAAGAGTGAAGAGAAGTTGATTAACACCCTGCCTTTGCTCGGGAGGGGACACCACTGGTCACCTGATAAACCTGCAGAGTCCAGTTATGAATGACTGTGTGATCCATACTGGAGCTGTTAATAAAAACATCAGGCTTCATTTGAATAATTGAGTGTGCTCACTGATTTCTAAATGAAATGTGCATCTTTTTTAAGACAAATTTTAGTGCAAAAATACACTGTCTGGATACAAATATACGTCAGTTTCTAATTAGAAATAAATGCCTTTAGAGTATTTCAGGACATCATAGCCCTGCTGAAAAAAAAGTATAAACCAGTTTGAGATAGTTAGACTGTTCTGTTTTGCTGGTTTTAGAAAGTCTTTGGCCACTTGGCAACTGGTCAAGCTGGGAAACCAGCTGGTTAACCTGCCAAAACAACTAAACATGAATCGATCCAGACTAGGAGACCATACGAACCATTATGAACCACTTTAGGCTGGTTTTAGACTGGTTTAATATGCATAAAATGCTGTCTGGGTATGAAGTGCACTACCATTCAAAAGTTTGGGTCGGTAAGATGTTTTAATGTTTCTGGAAGAACTCTCCTATCGTCACTAAGGCTGCATAATATTGCAAAATATTATTACGATTTAAAACAGTGGTTTTCTATTTTAATATAAAATGTTACTTATTCCTGTCATAGCGAAGCTTAATTTTCACCAGCCATTATCCCAGTCTTCAGTGTCACATGATCCTCCAAAAACCATTCTAATGTGCTGATTTTGGTCTTTCTTATTATTATAAATGTAAAATTTTAGTTGTGCTGCTTAATATTTTGTTTCTGGAAACCGTGATGCATTTTTCAGGATTCTTCAATGAATACAAAGTTCAATAGAACAGCACTCAATTGAAATATATATATTTTGTAACATTATAAATGTCTTTACTGACAATTTAATGCATCCCTGCTGAATAAAAGTATTAATTTCTTCAAAAAAAACAAAAAAACAAAACAAAAGAAAAACAACAATGATCCAAACTTTTGAATGGCAGTTTAAGTAATAAAATGTATGAGATAATTTGCATTCACATCACCCTAATTTGATTATATTTCATGTAACAATATTTGTATATGCATATAATATTTCACAGTTTATTTACAATATTTTAAGGACGTCCCTCTGATAACAGGGCACATGTTAGAGAACCGCAATACACGTCTGCAGAAAATAGCTCTCTATGAAACTCTTGCGTTTAGGGGAGTGAGCAAATAACAGAAAGAGAAAAATAGAAAAATAGCATGAAAGAAAATAGTAAAATAGAATTAAAGAAAGAGAAAAGAGCAGTTGAAACTGAAACACCAATCCCACTAGAGACATATTGTTGCGACCCTTAGCAGAGACATGCTGAGACATGCTTTTTCTCTAGTTGCTGTAGTGGGATTCATTCCACAGGCAGAGATGAATTGCCAAAGTCAGTGGCAGTGCTTTGTTGCTGTGAATAACAGAAATTATTTGACAAAGACATTATATAAAAAACCAGATCTGGAGCACAACTGCAGTACTGTGGGCTCATCAGCCTACAGTCCTGTTGACTGTTCCTGCATCAGACTGGGAAAGCTCTGGTTCTGTTGCATTATATAAAAAGACTGAAACAGAGGAAAGGACCCGTAGATATGACTAATGACATCTGAGTGAGATAAGGGAGTTACCTGCTGCTTTCTTGGAGGGCGTCGTTGTCTTTGTGCCAGGAGATCGTGCCTCGAGGAGACATCTTTGGCTTGCATTCAATGAGAACATCGCCGCCTTCTTTGACTAAAATGTGGCTCTTCAGCTGATTTTGGAAGAAATCAGGAGCGACAGCTGAAACGAAAGACAAGTTTTAGATTTTAAGAGCATACGTCATCAGAAAGCACAGAAAAAAACAGCTGAAACTATGTCTCATGCAACTATTTTAATTACATACAAATAAAGGAATGTTTTGGGATCAAAACAAGGAAAATGGCATGTAAAGTGGCATGACAAAATTCACTTTTAGGAGATATACACAATTAAAATGTACTGTCTTTCTCTTAAAAAAATGTAATGATACATATAAAAAATAAAATAAAATAAAAACAAATCCAACCATACATTTCTTTCAAAAGCAAATAAATCAACACAGGAAGGAAACATATGGAAGGTTATTTCTGCTACAGAAAAAAAAAAGAAGTAATTTTTTTCCTGACTGCACTATCTCATAATAGAAACAGAAATAGAAATATTTTTTTCTGAGATATAAACTCACAATTCTGACTTTTTTTTTGCAATTCTGAGTTCTCATCTCACAATTCTAATGTTTTTCAGAGATATAAACTCACAATTCTAACTTTTTTTCTCAGAATTGCGAGTTTATATCTTCGGAAAAAAATGCTAACTTGAATTTTGAGCTGTTAACTCACAATTATGTTAAGAAAAGTGTAAATAGAGTGATATAAACTCAATTGTGAGCAAAAAAGTCATAATTGTGATATGAAAATTGCCAAATACCTATTTTATTTTTTGAATCCATCGCAGAAATAAGCTTCCATAGAAACCAGCACTGATTAAGTGTCATGAATCAGTGTCACAGGACAATTTAAATGGCTCTTCTAATTATGCCAATCTCAGTTAAATTTAAAATCTGATCACTAGTGATGTTACTGTGCAAACAGTATAGGCTGAAAACATCAGAGTTGTGGCATAGCGGTTTGTGATTTTTCAATTTTCCCCTCTTACCCTATTATTTTCTGTCCTATATCTTATTATGCCAATAAATAAAGGACACACAAAGAACCGTATAAATATTTAACAACAATATTATTTAACAACCGAAGACCATCATGCATCAGGCCAATTTTTCCCTTCATATTTGACCATAATTACAGGTACGCAGACACGAGGATTAAGGACTATTCAGAGCACATCCTCTCTAATCACTGTACTTCAAAGGAAGGCATGTGTACACGGGTACGTATGATGTAGAACCAGAGATGGCAGAGCAGAGGCTCAGCGTATGTGGCACACTTGAATTATCACACGCTCCTTTTCTCTGCTAAGAAAAACAAAGGGAAAATGTCATGTCCTTTCCTCTTCCTTTTCCACGTTCCCCACTCAAATGAGTTTTTATTATGATAATTTCTACGGCTTTACAATCTTCACACTCTGACTTTTAAAAGGCACTTGAATCATTTTATCTGCGCGAGGGACTGACAATTATTCTCCTGTGAGTTCAGTTTCTTGGCCACTTTGGCGGATGAATTTTTATGGCAAAACAATAAACAAAGAAAGACGTGGGTGAATAGAATGTGGATGTAGACGGCAAGTAAACACAGCTCTGCAGTGTAATGCTACTGGCCATGACAATCGCAATCCCAATTTAATGCCTTTTGCAGTAAGTCATTTGTAGTTTGACTTCTTGAACAAATGCAAACACTGCAGAGCAACAAAAAACTTTTTGACAAAAAAAATCACCTCCGAATAAGAACTACTGCCTACTTGTACACGCCATCAGCAATATTACACATCTAATTACATTATATGAATCATAAGTGGCCATTATTAGGAGCATATAGTTGAGTTAAAGAGTGTAAGCTATATTAATGTAGTCATTATTTTGTGCTTTGTAAATTTACAAACCACACTAATATTTCAGTCAAATGCAATTAACCAGGTTTCACTTACCGATAACTCGGAGTTCAGCATTGGAGTACACTTCTCCATACTTGTTCCCAGCCACGCACTGGTACATTCCAATATCGGAGAGCACCAGGCGAGTGATGGACAGGGCGCCATTAATGACCTGCACCCTCTCCTGTGGAAAACAGGATATCTCCGTTAAGAGTCTTTTACTGAGATTGCTAATCTGCATAAAAGCACAACGTGTCTGGGAAGGTAAATTATGTCTGGAGGTTGATGGAAACGATCATAAATCTGAGTGTTCATTACTAATGGGAGACACTGCGTAGGGAGGCTGCTCAAAAACGACGGCAATAAATCTGTATGTTTATGAGATGGAAATAAAGCCCTGGCTTGTTTACTTCTTAACCAGAGCTCATGCCTCTGTATTCCGCGGACGAGCCGTTGGGAGGCTGGATGATGTTTGCCATTATAAACAAGCAGGGCTAATATTTTAAATCTGACAGTTTTATACTATTTCTAATATGTGATGGAATGTAGTCTGCATGTCTTCTGATGTTAACCAAAGTTATTTGATGAATATAGTGTATAAAAGAACATAAAATAGGCAAGACATCTTAAAACACCAGGACACTGCAATCAAAGCTGTATATATCCTGTGTTAATAAATAAATAAATAAATATATATATAAACCTTCAGCCTTAGTCACCTTGAGAGCATTTAGTTTCCACCTCATGTTTCCTTCCAACAGACATAAACAACATTTTAAAGGCTCATAAAAAGACAGGTTCATATTAAAAACCGGCATGAAAAGTGGCAGAACAGTCTCTGCTGTGGTTTAGAGTGTATTCTGTCCTTTCATATTTCACCTTTAGCCCTTTATTTTTCGTATGGAATAGTTCACCTAAAAAATGGGGAAAAATACAACATAATATCGTAATTGTTGTTTTAACGATGTGCGATTTGACATTATCCATAAAAAAAATACTATTTCTCACTCATTAATTCATTGGAGTGACATGGGGATGAGTAAATACTGGCACAACTTAAATTTTTGAGTGAGCTCATTTTTTAAGTATTCATTTTTTTATGTCAGTAAAGGGTTTACTGTAGTCATGGCATATAAAACAGCAGTTAGTCCTTGGGATAAGCTGCACTTGAATGAGATTTGTGTTGATGGTGAGGAGGAAGGGACAAATGCATAATATGGGACAAATAAGCCTGCACAGAGAGTGGCGGGTCCTGAGGGAGGCGACCATCTGCACGCCTGCGCTGAAATGCCATGATTGGCAATGTCACTGCTCGAAATCCGTAGGGTCAGGACATAAAGCGCAATGCATGACTACAGTTGTGGCAAATCTCATCCTGATACGAAGTGCGCGTTCATGGCTGCATAGACGTTCTCATTTCCTAAGTCTTGATTTAAATCTACACCTTTGAAAAGACGATAATGTCTCCTTTCATTCAAAACACCGTACATGTTAGGCCTCATTACCAGTTTGTAGCTGTTGTAAACACTGTGTTTTATATTATGTAGTACATTTTAAATCAAACTACTACAAATATAAGCTATGTTCTGTGTAAGCAGTATGAGCTGGTATCAAAAAAGCACCATACGGGTGAACAAGATCATTGACACGTTTATTACTAGATTAGCCAAGGCATGGTTTGTGCCTCACATCATATTCCCTTCTCTCAGCGACTGGAGCGTCACAATGAATTACAAAGAAGAGGTTTTTAGCTGGTCACCTTAGCAATGCTGTGTTCCAATAAGGCAGAAAGAACATGAAAGGACCCCATTGATTAAGCCCAGTGAAAATAACAAATGGTATAAGTCAACAACCTATGCTTATGCTATCAATGACCTTTAGTTATTCAATTGATTAAACCTCTGATGTTGACGGTGACATTTGGAGATTGTAATAATTCTGCGCTGGTTAATTCATTTAACCAGGATACATTGAAAATCAACATTTCGGAATCAAAATGTAAGCTAGGGCTATGATTCAGTCAAGAGATTGTTGTGCCCTTGAGACATTAGTCTGTCATAGTACAAACTAGGTGGTATTTCTTCAATGCTCAAAGAGACGCGTTTCAAATCATCTTTACAACCATAAATGCAAAATAAAGAGATGTTATTGCATTTAAAATTCAAGTGTACCTTTTGGCAATTACCTTGGCACACAAACATGCCTGTAAAACATTGATCATTATGCTAATTTGGTATTTCAAATACAAATTCACTCAACAAACCTGGAGCCTAACCAGCAAAATCTGCATTAGCAATTATTTCCTGAGGTCCAATGCATGTAAATGAACTTTATTTGAGCTTTTTCTGATTGCGGTGTATTCTGTTGGAACCGTTCTCTAATAAAGCGCAAAACAATAAAATGGACAGACTGCTAATTATGCAGCGCTGATAGATATTCTAATCTGGTGGTGTGAAAGATGAAAAAGAATGAGTGACAGATGAAGAAAGACAAGTGGCCATGTCTCTGAACACATAAACAGTCTCTAAATGGATCAATATCTTTTGTCTTGCTTGCACCCACATCACATAGCAAGGCTAATTTACATGAAGTTTACTGATTTGTTTATTCACCACACCATAGTTGCTCTGAAGAGCAACTAGTCTCTAAAAATAACTTAATGCGCTTGGAGTTTGGAATTCTGGGTGAAATGCTCTCAGTGGAGACAGGTTGTATATGACATAGAATGTCGAGACATATAAATGTTTATCACCTCTTTCACTATAGTTTAAATGGATTTCAGAGAAAGACAAAACAGTAAGAGCTTGTCTAGCACACAGTAAAGGTTTATAAGCCTTCTCCTAACGGCCTTCAAGGAAACAGGCTCAAATTCTGCTGTTTTAGATTGGAGATTTAATGGGAGATTGCTAAGTGTCTTGCATCTCGTGTCCAAAGCTGAATGACTGTATTAAATCAAGCCTTAATGTTCATTAAATGTATTTTACTTGATTTAAGGACTTTTTAAATGTCCTTCATATTCTGAGCTTGTGTTGTTTGGTGATGTTTGTAGGTTGTAAAACAGTAATTATGTTTATGCAATGATGAGCAGTAATGATGATTAGAACAGCTATAATTAGCATGCTTCTCTCTGCACCTTATTTAAAGTCGACATGAAATCAAAACCGTCCTGTTTACTTACTAAATGCACTTTACTGGTCTTATTGTACATAATTCATCACAGCATGTTATTCCAAAGAAAAAATGGTTGTCTTTCATCAAAATGTCATGACTTGCTCCACATCAAATGACTTTTCTCTTCATTGACCTCACAAAGGCTGCTGAAGTTTTGTGCTGTCAGTGTTTCAGGAGAGGTGTAGCTTCCAAAACTCAACTGTAAAAGTCATGAAGTGCCCATTTTTCATAATACAATAAATTCCTGATGGATAAAAATCAAGCCCCTACATTTTTCCCCCCACATTAAAAATCCCGGAAAGTCACACAAATGAAGTAAAATGGGTTGCAAAAGTTGTTTCACATCACCTTCAAGCATCTAAAAAATAACTTTGACCAACTCCCAAAAAAGGAAGCGGTATGAAATTAAAATGTGTTGGTTCAATCTTTAAAACGTGTTGTTAGAGAGTATTGCTAGTGCTTTCTGCTAGCTATTGCCATCTTGAGTTTATTGCATTTTTGGGGCACTATTCCCTCTCATTGCCAGAACAAGTGGTGGATATTTGGAAGCTTTTATGTTCTCAATTTTGTCCATTCCTATTGTTTCGATAATTCTGGAGTGGCCTATATAGAAGGTTTGCGGAATGACATATCCGGTACTCCAGTGGATTCACTCTGATTTAAACAGTTATAGAGAAGCCATTAAGGAATACACTCTAAAGCATCGATTTAATAAACTTGATATAATTTGTACTTTTTGTACTAAACCTATATTTTCAAATACAATATTTAAAGGGATAGTTCACTCAAAAATGCAAATTTACAATGTACTCATGCCATTCCAAACCTGTATGATTTTCTTTCTTCTGCAGAACAAAAAATAACACATTTAGTTTTTTTTCGTGTCATACAATGAAGACCAGTGGGGTCCAAAACAACATGTGTGAACAGTAATCTTTTTAAAATGACTTCTTTTGTGTTCCACAGGAGTCATGAGGGTTATCAAATAATGAAAGAATTTAAATTGTTGGGTGAACTACAATTTTTGAATGCAATTTCTACTACTGTTGCAAAAGTCTGGTGACCGTCCTCAAACCTCAGAGGTGAACTGACCTCAGTGGGCTCCAGGTTCTCTCCATTCTTCATCCACCTGTACGAGGGTTTGGGCTTCCCTGTGGCCTTGCATTCCCACACCAGAGAGTCATCAATGGCCTTCTGCACATCCTGGGGCTTGTCAATTAGCTGGGGGGAGGCTGAAACAACCAACAGCAGAGGTAATGACTACATGGAATTGCTTTAACCTTGATTATTACCTGTTATGTGTCCTTCAAAGCGGACTTACATTATTAGAGCCATGAACTGTGGGAAATGGTGTGATGTAATCACAATAATGGCACATAAGAAAACAACAGCAGTCAGGCCCAACTGATTCACACGTCCACTTGGGTGGGTATAGAAAGGAAATAACATCTAATATATTAGTATTGTCTAAAAGCTAGTACCATAAATTACCTCAACCAATACCATTAGGGTAAATTATGGCTTAATTATAAACAAACTGTAGTGATCTTTATCTTTTAAAGGCAAGTAACTCAAACCTAGTAAATAATTGACTTGGAGCACATTTAGAGAATAATTTATGAGCATCTTCCCTAGAAGGACACTAAACGACAGATAAAAATGGGTAGAATACATGCAAACAAACAATAAAATATATAAACACAAGTTTGTTAAGTGTAAAGTTTAGCTGATGACCGTTTTCCATTGTAAATGGAAATGGGAAGTAGTGATGTTCGAATCATGAATGAATTTATGGTTCTCATGTTAGTCGGCAGGATGATTATCGATGAAAAGCTTACAATTTAGTCTCTTTATTGCTATAAAAACCATTGCATGACTCCAGAATATTTGGAATACATCTTAAATAGCCTCCACTGATCCTTTAACATTTCATGAACAAATCATGAACATTTGGTTGCAATACTGCTTTTGCATCCTTTTTGAAGCTTGAAAAGCCTCAATCTTTTAGGCTCAATCTTCAAAAGAAAGTCAAACAGGTTTGATACAAGGACACAATAGCAAATGATAACAGTTTTAATTTTTACGGTGAATTGTATGTTTTATTATATTCCTGTTGCTGCAAACCAATCACATTTAAGTCACAAACTGTCAAACATCTACTGAAGACCGAAGTGCTGCTCGTATCCCTTAAGTCACTGCCACTCAGTCTATCTCGCACTCACTGGGAGAGTATTGACTTTTAAACCCCACTGTTTAAATGAGAGTATGCAGTCAGGGCCTGACTTAGCCTTGCCCACAGGGCACACAAACGCTCTCAACATTTCACGCCCACAAATCAAACTTGAGAGGAATGAGAGGTAGAGAGGTCAAAATGAGCTCTCAGCATCCTTAATAGCAACTGAAAGCTTATTCAGTGGCATACTGTGATTATGATAGATGTTTTCTGTGTCCCTAGCAATCATAATGTACCCAGAAGAACATCTGTTTTTCTGTGTAGGGGAACTCTGGATGTAAGCTTAGGTGACCTTAAATGCAGCCCTACCTACCAAACACAACATTCAAACCATTTATTATGTCTCTTTAAAGAGTCCACATCATGAAAAACCAAACTTTCCTTACATTTTCTAGTCCACTAAGACTTTTTTTGTAATTTTTGAGCTTGACAGACTCATTCCCCTTTCACGTGGCTGGGATATTCTTCAGAAATCCACCTTTTGTTTGGTTTTTGAATTTTTTAGGTGAACGATTTCTTTAAATGCAGCACAATCAATTAATTTTAAGGATTAGATATGGGGTGAAAAAATGATTGGTGCATAAAAACCTTGACTAACATTATATGTGGGAAAAATAAAATGCTAAAATTTATAACATGCCCCCTTGAATGATCAACACTGATAAAGGCACTCATAAACACAAAAACATCTTTAAAACAACCCTCTTTATACGTGTACCTGTTAGAGGTACACAATCTTCATAGCAAAGCGGAGAATAGGACTAATGACGGCAACTAAAACATTTGAGGGCAATTGCTAATCAAGCCAACGCAAGCAGAAAGAATGAAAGGCTTTGAGTGTCTCCTCCTGCTTTGCTGCTGCCAGTGGAAGTGATAAACATGAGATACACTTATTGATCGCCCCATTCCCTTGCTCTGCTGATGAATGTCTCGTAGGCCTAATTCCATGGGACTTCAAAATAAGATTACAGATTTTTATCACCTAACAGGTAAAGGGGAAATCATTGGGGAAGAGAATAAGATACAGAGAGAAATAGAGAAGGGAGAGAGAGATCTGAGTGGTAAGTCAAGAGGTCTGTCCGTAGGCTAATCCTGCCATTGAAGAATCCCAGAGCCGCGAACAGGATAAACGTCAACCTGTCGCTGCTTTTTTATATGCCTTTTATATGCCTTAAAGCATAGAATGTGTGATAACTCGCAGATGAATGCGGCCAAAATGAGTTCATTTTTAGGCAAGTCAGTTCACTCGTGGCCATTTTAGCTGATATCTGATGTAGTTAATAGGCATACAGTTCTATCGACTTGAATGGGGAAAGACCACAGTCTCAGAAACTTTCAATTACATATGTCAAACCATCAAAAAAATCTGTTTCTTTGGCTCAAATTACACTGAAACCTTAATTTACAGTGCTCATTTTTACAAATGTTACACTTTAAGTCATGTGTTTTGTTTTTTGATGAAAATATCGATTAAACTTGTCAATATTTTGCCATGTCATATTCAATCATTTTAGTCAAATTACTCAAATGACATTTAGTTGATAAGAAACTGGAAAATAACTATTTTGGTTCAGTAATCTTTTTAATGTTTTTAAAAGAAGCCTCTTATGCTCACAAGTCTGTATTTACAATCAATGATGCAGTAAAAAGATTGATTTTGAAAAAGTAACATTTCTATCTAACGAATCATTTATATCAGTGTTAAAATGGTTGTGCCGTCTAATTTTTTTCTTTTTTTTTTCTTGTGGAAACAGTGTTTTTTTTTTCAGGATTCTTTAATGAATATCAAGTTCAAATAAACAGCATTTGTTTTTTTTTGCAACAATCTAAAAGTCTTTACTGTAACTTTTTATAAATCTTTTGTGTCCTTGCTGAATAAAAGTATACATTTCTCTAACTTCTATCTCACTGACCCCAAACTTACTGTATATAAATTTTAAAATGCATCAATATTAACAAAAACTGTCCATGTTAATATCTTGCAATGTTATATTTTCATCAACTCTTAATTAAAATTGTTTATCACATTTAAATAATTTAAAAAAAATGACACTTTTATTATGCATTTTGCCTTTGTTATCATTGAGAAAATCAAAAATCTCTTCATGAACCATTTATCATCAATAATTTTGTTGATGAGATCAATGCTGGTTTAGTGTGACATATTTCTATTCAAAAACCTGCATCTTATTCAATAACCACAGGTAATCCAGTTTAATCAGATGCTAAAGGTCTATTTCCTTCTCCTTATACTGCAGTTGACTTATAGACAGGAGGAGAGGTGTGACGGGGGTGGAAACGATTGAGGAACAGCAGAAGCGAAGCGAAAACCTAGGCAAATTATCATAAATATCATGTCTCTCCAAAACAGAACTGGGCATGAGAGCTGAGGAGTGAAAGCATTAGTGAAACCCAACCACGCCTACGACGAATCGCCTCCTTGGCTGGATTACATTAGCTTTTATAGCCACAGCTATTTATCTAATTAATACATTTATAAATCACAGCTACGTTGCGCATCTGGGAAGCCCATTAGGAGAACTTCCCTTTTCTTGGAACCTGTCCCCCCCACATTGTTTGGAAAATAAACAATGAGACTACCGGGATAATAAAACATTCAGCAAGCTCCTTGCAGACTATTCTTGTAAATGGGCCACTGGGTATGCGGGTATAGCATTAGAGCCAGTGCACGATCCCATAAGGGGAGGATAAATCCCACTGCTCTCTAGCCTACAGGTACTTACTTAATAGGTAGCTGTCTTGTATGAACAATGCCATTGAGCCAACACGGCAGTGAAGGGAAAAGGTTATGAACTCTTCATTTTAAAGTCCATATTTAATATGCTTCTCTTCATAAGCCTCTGAGTCACAATACACTAGCTAGAAACCTAGGCCTAGCCATTGGGGTCTCATTTTTTACAATTCATGCCAATTTGCACTGGTAAACAAATGCAGGCTGAAGGTTCACATGGAATTAATAGAATGTAAAAGGGATTTCCATGTTTTAATCTCAGTCTTTTCCCCCCACTGATTGGAAGACTTAAATCCATAACTAATAAATAGCTATTTTACCTAATAGACTTTCAATAGGACAGAATGACTCGATTTATACTATATACATTACTGTTCAAATTTTTTTTTTAACTCACCAAGGATGTATTAACTTGATTACAAGTGACAGTAAATACATATTCAATGTTTATGGACTTTATGTTAAATGAACTTTATATTAATCAAAGGATCCTAAAATAAAATGTATCATGGTTTCTACAAAAATAATTTTTACGCAGCACAACCATTTTCAGCTGTGATAACATTGAGAAATGTTACTTGTACATCAAATTATAGAATATTAGAATGATTTCTTAAGGCTCGTGTGACACTAAAGCCTGGAGTAATGGCTGCTGAAAATTCAGCTTTGGTATCACAGGAATAAATTGTATTTTAAAAAATATTGATTATTTAAAACTAATAATATTTAAAAATATTATTGTTTTTGTTGACCAAATAAATGCAGCCTTAGTGAGTACAAGAGACTTCTTTCAAAAACATTAAACAAATCTTGCTGACCCCAAACATTTGAACAGTAAAAAATAACTATAAATCCTATTCCTTACAAAATAATAACTTCTCCTAATAAGCCATATGATTTCAAGTATCATTCATGACCATAACGCAACTCCTTTAAATCTGAACATCTTCAACTGGGTCCAGAGTCTACAAATATGCTTCAAAATCAACGACACATAAACACAAAAAAAAAAAAAAATCAGAAGTCACCGCTGATCCAGATGCTGCTCTGCTGAGTGTTTTCCTGGCATATGTGCCCCTTATCTAAGCATAGTAAATTTAACAGCTTTGATCTGGAGTCAAATTGAATCCCATTGCCATCTGGTAACACACACACACACACACACACACACACACACACACAAGGTCAGGCTTGCAACACTACTGCAAGTAACTGACTACCGCATACTAATCAGCTCTCACAGTAAAGGTGGAAAAGAAGAAAGAGAAGAACAGATGAGGGGGATGACAAAAGTTGAGAGGAGAAAGAGAGAAATAAACCATGTTGTCCTTTGAAATGAATCCTGTCAAACAGTAAACAACATGAAAGGAAATCCAGAGGCAACTTGGGGTGGTCCAACACAAGATCATGAGGAACGCAAAGATAAAACAAAATTAATCATGCCAATATCAAAGCTGCAGTTGAACAGTTTTCCCACGACTTTTGTTTGAAGCCCAAGGTCAGGCTCAAGGTCATCCTCTCATCTTTTTAATCTGGATAAAAATATTAAAGACATTACGAGTGGGAAGCTTTAATCATTTTGATGCACTGTTAAAGCACAACATCCGGCCTTAAGTTTATTTTCTGCTGGTCAGGGTTGACGACTGGAAAGGCAGAGTCCTACATCATGTCCTTCACTTCAATGAACATGACATGTGGCTTTCCCTGTTCAAATATTCATGCATCTCTAGACAACTTACCAAAGAAAGACAGCTTTCCCTGCACAGAGTTTCTTCCTTTCGAGTTCTCTGCCACACATTCGTACGTGCCCGCGTCTTCTTGCTGGAAGTAAGGGATTTCCATCACACCGCTGGTTTTTCTTACATCCACTTTACGGGCGAATGGGACTCCGTCAACCCGATGCCAACTCATGGACGGTACTGGACTAAGTCGTGGGAAAAAAACACAAATGCAAAAAGAAATTCAAAGACTGATTACATCATCTTTCTATTGAGGACATCTTTGTAATACTTACTTCCCCAGTGCAAAACACTCCAGACGCACAGTTGAACCTTTGGCCACTTGAACAATCTCTGGAAACTGGACTTCAATCTTTGGCTCATATTCTCCCATAACACCTATAAAAAAGAAACATTCAATCGCCAGTCACAAGCAAAATCACAATTAGTTCCAACAAAAGCTATCAATTATTCCATCTGAAATTGCAATTTCCAAAGCAGCCAATCTTTTATTTTCTGTTTCATTATTATTGCTTGATTTATTTGGTAGCTTCTGAAAGGCTTTTGGGATAGCAGGGAGCCCTGATATCTCCCTCTGTGTTTCTGTGAGGTGTGCTATCGGACCAGCGACTAAGCTGTCTGCGGGACTCAAAGAGATGCTTATCTGTAATGTCTAACTCTGGCTGTTTATGTCAGCGCTGCCAAATGGGAAGGGTTGAGGAGAGGCAATCATCCCCTTCTGTAGCATCCCAGGTAGAGAGACATGTTACAATGGGGTTTGAAATTGCGCATAGAGATCACACTGTGACAGTAGCCATGGAGTGGCTCATGTTGGTCATACACCACTGATACAAATATCAGGTTTGTAGACAACATGTTTTACACCATAATTCAGACAAGGCATCGGTTGCATCTCAGCCAGCTGGAACTTAAAAATGAAAAATAAATAAGTATAAAACTGTATTTTCCTTTTTGAGGTCCAACTGGTGCATTGAATTGTGTACACACAAACACACAAACACACACACACACACACCTTCTGTGTCAAATGAACCTTCAGAAAACATTATAAAATGTTTCTTAGTAATGTTGAAAACAGTTGTTCTGCTTAACATTTTTTGGAAACCGTTATACATATTTTAAAATATATTTTAATGAATAGAAAGTTCAAAAGAAAAGCACTGACGTGTAAAAGTCAGCTCAGAACAATATAAGAGTCTTTATTGTCACTTTTGATTGATTAAATGTGTAATTTCTTCATAAATGTATTAATGTCTTTCTTTAAAACCTTGCTGACCTGGACTTTATGTTACTGCATCTGCATTTAATTGCACTTTAAAATTCTGGTAAAAAGGGCATAAATATAATTGAGGGCAGTTTTGACAACTCAAATGTATTGGTAAACATTTAATTTTTCAGGTTTTTATCAAATATTCTGGAGGAGAAATTGATAAACACTCAACTAACTAAAGCAATACATTTGTCAGCAGTTAATTAACTTTTCCTATTGTGAAAATAAAAATGATCATATATGTTTTTTTTAATGACACCAATCAAAGCTACTTTCAGATAATCATGTACAAATTAATATAAAGTCTAGGTGGAGACAAGGCAAAAATAATGAAATATCAAAATAAATACAAATATTATTAGGATTATTAATTAATTAAAGACAATTACGTAAAGCTATTATAATTTAACAATTAAACTAGAATGGTTGTACATATATGTAATTATTATTATTAATTTTCCCCCCTTTAAAATCAACCTAGGAGGACAAAAACGTTCCTCTAATCACCCAAAAAACTAGAAAATAGAAACCAAAAAAATCTCTCATAGAAAATAAGTTTATTTTAGGCTATCACTCAGATAAATTAGATTCCGTTTGTCTGTTACGATATTTGACAATTTATGTTTATCACCCTTGTACATGAGTGTGATCAAAATGTAAATCCACAGAAAAGCAACAATTAGATCAGCCTAAGACAAATGACCTTTCAGTTCGAGGGCCTATGATAATGCCAGCCTAGAGGCACCAAAACATGCTGCCACAGCATCTTAAAATTTGCAGAGAAACAGCTTATTAACCTTTGAATAAAATTTGTGTTCTACATATATATAATCTTTCTTATCTCTTTTAGTTACATAATTCTATAATGCATATGGGATTGAATGTATGGCATATATCGAGACATCAGCAAGCATTCTCACCATCATTGCGCAGTATCAGAGGAGTAGGCGGGCCTTGGACGCGTGTCTTGGTGACAGTATTGGTCACAACACAGGTGTAGTTGCCCACATCAGATGGCTCAACTTTAGCGATGTATAGATTCCCCGTCTCCTGGGACACGAAACGACGAGAATCCTGCTTCACAAATGACGGGTACTCATTAAAAATCCAGGAGAACGTCAAAGCTGTTAGAGGAAAAAGGAAAGGAGAAAAGACCATCAACATCACACATGAGTAGAAAGAGGTCACTCTACTGCCCGGAAACTACATTTGCATACACGTAACTAGAGTACACGGTGACATTTCCTCTCTCAGCAGAGCCTAAATGGCATATGTGAGCTCTGCTCATGAATCTTGCGTCTCCCTAGAGTTACTAAATTAGCATTGGGGCTACATGCTAGGGTGAAAATTAATCAGCCTGAGGAGGGTTGTGTGGCTTAGGAGGTGAAATTTAATGACAGAAAGGATAACCAGTGCCCTGTGATTAGTTGGCTTCTAGTCAAGTGGGAAAGTGGTCGTATGTAACCAATGTTCAAAAATCCAGAGTGCTATTCATTGACATTGGTCATTTAATAGATAATCAGGTGAAAAGTAATGAGCTAATCACACAGAATTTCATTAAAGCAGAGTTTTTAATGACAACAATAAAGAAATCTTAATGTAAATGTGTGGAAAGGACAACAGATGAATGGAAAAGTTCAAAAATGTTTCATCTACCTTAATTAGGCGAATCTCAAAAAACTGTCAAGAAATGTCCTTGTTCCACCAAAATAATATGAAGCCTATTTTTAGGACTACTGACATTATTTACATGACAATCCAGTTCTTAGTAGCCCACTATAATGAGAACAATACATTTAATTCGCATCACTATAATGTGACAAAATTGTAAAGTGCAAAATACTCTTAAATTTAAAAGTACAGAATATAGTTAGAATTTAAGTATAATTCACATTAGTATTTATTCTAGGTCTACTGTATTTAATTTATTGCAATTAAAAATATTTTATTTTCAAAAATAATGATTTTCATGCAATTTTTAAAAATGTGCTTAATCGTCATGAAAGTAATATTAGAATATTGTATTTAAATGATTTAATTTTATTTGGATTCACCTTATTCTAGCTCATGCTGGAAATAGTAATGCAGTCATTTTTTTATATTTCCAGTTATAGTTTTCAACACACCATTTCACACTATATGAGACAAATAAACAGACAAATAAATAAAACAGTCTCAACTCTGAGAGGAGTGCTGTTGACCAGACTTTGAAAATGTAGCGTTCTCGTCGGCCATTTCTCTCCACGAAATGTCAGCATACACTTAATGTCACATCTATCAGTGGTCAGTTCCTTTACAAGCACAGAAAAACCGTTTCAAACCTGACCTCAAAGAGTTACAACTGTTTTTCCTTTTGCTAATTCAATTACACACAATGCCTGTCATTCTCCAAGTTCCACCATCAACTATGAGCCATGGAAAGTGCAAGGTGAACCAGGCATTTCTCTATTATCCAGGTGTGAATCAAAATGAATTCCTTTCAGAGGAAGCGCTTTCTGATAATAATTCAACTGCAGACTTTTTACTTGAAGTTGTTTGAATAGTACATGTTTGTAATTGGAGAAAGGCTATAAACTAAAATGAGTGCTTTTATAAAGGCTTTGCATAAGTCAAAATCTAATTGCTGCTCAAAACAGCAATAAAGAAATCAACTGTCAATCTAATAAGCATCTAACCGCATCTGTGGAGGAACAATGCACTGAAGCATTAATAAACCGATGTGCATTTCCTGTCACCAGCCTCCTCCATGTTTCTGTGGCGCATACCTACATCTTTATTCAACCAAATCACTCTGAGGTTAGACATGTTAGCTTCCATTTGTGCCGTCATTGATAAATGCATTTGCAGAACGTTGTAATGTTCTACTCGGCCAAGGCTTTTGGCTCCCCAGCAGCGTATTTAATCGACAGGCACATAGCATCTCCCCGGCTTAGCCCAATCAAACCCACTCACTCATTAGCTAATTAAACAAAGCAGTCTAGGAGGATTCCTGCCTGAGCCCTGGTCATTTATCACAGTTTGATCTGATCCATAGCTGTGGGCTTCGGCTATCTTGTGCACAGAAGGGGCTTGAGCAGCTTGGTTTTCCAACCCATGAACTCTTGAGTGCTAAGCTAACATCATTCCTGTAATATACAACGGTAATTTAAGTAAATATTTCTATAAAAGGTTAAGCAAGACTTTCAGAAATATGCTATGGTTAAGCTTAGGCACTTAAACTCTTAGTTTAAATAAAGTTTAAGTGTTAATTAACAGGACAATTAACAGTAAGGCTAACAAGATGTAAACAAACTGTTAAACCCTGACGAAAATTAACCATGGTTTTATTGTAGTGAAAGTGTAGTAACCATGTTTTTTTGGTGTACTGATTACCATTTGTATACAAATACCATGGTTAAACTATGGTTAGTGTAGCAAAACCATGGTTAATTTGTGGTTACCATGGTTTAACTATAGTAACCATGGTTTTTTTGGTTTTATTTGGAGTAAAACCATGGTTAATTAGCTGTAGGTCAGTGACTAGCTTACATGAGGGTGCCAGCTTGAAGTTAATTTTGATGTTTCTTTTTTAAAATCTCTCTTATGCTAGTACTGTGCCTTGAAAATGTTTATTAAGTCTCTTTGAGAGGAATATAATACCTGCACGCACAGACAGCTGGGGCTCAGGATGAACTGAATAACGTAATGTGATTTTGTGCTATCGCACATGGCAAAACAGGATCTGCTTTCTGACTTAAATCCTGCCATCCATGCATTCAATCAATCATTCCCCAAAATGCTGAATTTTTTATTAATTTAGAAGGTAAAAACGTCAAATGTTAATCCACTACTGCTGCAGGCGTTAATGCTGATTTAAAAACAAAACAAAACAAAGCTTTGTGTTAGCAAAGAAAAGTCATATACAGTTGCTCAAAGGCTGCTGTTGCCAGGGATGGGCAGTATTTCAGATACATGTATTTACAATACGTATTTGAAATACAAAATACTATTCTGTATTTTGTATTTGAAAGCCTTTGGCAAAAATCAAATGTAATTTGTATTTAAATACATTTAAGATTAGTATTTTTGCATTTTTGACTTTTCTGGAATAAGAGAAGTTGAGGATGTCATGGTCAATTGTACATGTTGATTAAAGTTAAAATAGAGCATCATTCAGATTTGCCGTCAGTTAACATGAAAGAATAAAAGAGCACTGACAAGGGGAAAAATAGCGTTAGCCAATCAGTTTTAATAGTTAATCGGTTGTTGTTTTTGATCAACTAGCTTGTCAAATGTGTTTAAAGCATTACTGCAGGTTAGGGCTGGGTGATATGACAATACATATCGTGGCGATGATATAAAGTGCGAATCGACGGACATTTTTCTAAATCGTTTACATAGATAGGCCTGTTGGGGAAAGCAAATATATCCGTGCAGCTTTTAGTGGGCAGGAATTATTCATTCATTCATTCATTCAAAAGGAAGCATGGATGAATGAGTAATAGAATGTGATGTGCTTGGTGCAATTGCACTTATTATAAGTGTATATGTGTATGTCCTTTATACTTCTATGGCTCTTAATAGATTCAGTGGTTGGAGTTGGGTAAATACTCCTTGACAATTTCTGTTGCTACTTTCTGATTACGTTTCTGGCTACATTTAAAATCAAAACATATTGATCATTTAATAATAGTTGTAATGCTAAAATGTTTGTTTTCATCTTCCAAATAGGTGTCCAGTGATTGATAAATAAATATTTGATTTCTGAATATTGTACCCTAATTGAAGTAGCTGTTTAAATAGGATCATGATTTTACATACCATTGCATGAATGACTGCCTGACACATAATATATTATTATATTTATGACTAACAATCAAATGATTAAGTAGTTAGAAACTAGTTGCTATGAATACAGGTGCCATCAGTTGTCTTCTTATGAATGACTTGTTTGTCATTGAGTCAGTGCTGCTGATGCAAAGTAGACCCTTTGTTACCAAACACCAAGTAACTAAATTAGGATTCAATTACGAGTCATTCGCAAACTGTTAAACATTAAACTGTTGGTTACTTTAAAACTAACCTTCATCTGGGAAATCACAGGGATATGTGAATATTTGATCTGTTAACTGATTGCATATGTCAGGTTCATTGCATGACTCGGGCAGAGAAAAGATGTTGCTATCAAACATTGTTCACAAACATCAGTGTATTGGTGAAGAGATAGATCAAATAGGACAATTGATGGAAGGTTTGTGAAAAAATTTCATGCTCCCATGTAAAAGTATTTTTTAGTATTTTTAAAATACAAAAATACAGTAGTTTATTTTGATACTTGGTGTGGCTGCTGTATTTTGTAGTTTATTTTGATACACTTCAAATTAAGGTATTTGGTATTTTATTTTAAAATGCATTTTGATGTATCTTTGCCCAACCCTGGCTGTTGCAACCCTAACACAACCCAAAGGATTTCTTCCCTCAATTATTCAAACCCTTAGATTTATGTTTTTTTTCATATGGTTTGATTCACTTAGGTATCAAGGTCCAAAAATAAATGAACATGTACATAATGCAACAAAATGAGAAAATCCAAGCAGATACGTTTTTGCATTTTTCCACTGATATTAAACCTTTCCAGATAAAGCCCTTGATTCTCAGCTGGACTCTCCCCGAAAAAAACAAACAAGCACATAAATGCTACATAGAATCCTCCATACAGTATGTGAAATGTTCGAGGTTCACTCTGAAATTTGATGTGTAAGAAGCCAAGACTCTTCACTTTGAAGGGTCCCTAGAGGGGACTGTCAGATGCTGACAAAACTCAGTTTGCATTATACCAAGAATGCTGGGGTTGCAGAAAGTCAGCAGAGAAGTCAACATAAAACGAAAAGGGAAAAAATAGACCATATAAGATTTGTGCAAATTGTACGGACATGTGGAGAGTATTAAGGAAGATGAAGGAGGAAACAAATTTTTGCTTTCTAAGGGCAGATCTGTTGTACAAAACTGGAGATTTTCCATGGTGGGGTTAACATCTACTTCAGGAATACATTTTTACAGCTGATGCATATATTTTTTAATATATATATATTAAATGCCATCTGCAGATTGGTGTAATACGATAGTTCTAGTGTGAGTCTGGGGT